GTTACTCATAATTTTGAGATAATTAAGTCATTAATTCAGAAAAACAGAGCAAAAACTTTTTTCCATGAAAAATTCCACATGTACCTATTTATTATGTCTATGGGATGGAATGCCCTTCTTTTACTGTCTATGGGAATGTCAGGACACCGGCTCCAAATCGGCACGTGACTCCTCACTCTCAATAGATACACAAGAGAAGCTGCAAAATAGGTGCAGCTTTTTAATTCATTGATTGGCACGTCTTGTGTTTTTGAATGTAACGTAATCTGCTTTTAGAGCAGCACCTTAGAGTGAAAGAAAAATATTAAAGCGAACATCATGTATAATGTTATTAAAATGGTAGTTCTCTTAACATTTTTACTGCAGTGGGGTCCCGTTAGTCATAGTAACGTTATCATCCCCATGTGCATGCATGGGGATGATAACGACTATGACTATATAAGCCAACATAAACTGAAGTTTCATCTGAACGCACTGTTTGGAATCTGACACCAACACTACAGATATTTTGGTAACACTACTACAATAAGGTTTCATTCGTTATGTTAACTACATTAGTTAACATGGATTAAGAATGCACAATAGCCTACTTAAGCATAATTCATCTTAGTTCATTTTCATTTTGACATTTACTAATAGATTATTAAATCAAAAGTGAACAGTTGTATTTGTATTAACTAATGTTAACAAAGATGAATAAATAGGCTACTCTAACAAATGTATTGGTCAATGTTAATGTTACTGCAGTTAACACATTAACTAGCCTAATTTTAACAAATGAGACCTTATTATAAAGTGTTGCAATATTTTAAACTGCTGTGTGAACTCCGACAACAACATTGTCAATATGTGCTTAAACTTAATATTGACCTCACAATATGTATTCCTTTATTTAAAAGATGCAGTTCAGAGAAACCCTCCTGGCTAATGTTGCTGAAATGGAGATCAAGAGATCCATGAACTGGCAGCAGATCGAATGGCAGACACAAGATAAGTTTAAATCTATATTAAAAACACAACTCTTTAGCATAAACATAACAGACTTCCACATTTCCACATTTCTATAATTCACATCCGTTAAAGGTAGCTTACACCAAAAGGTAGCTTACACCAAAAGGTAGCTTACACCAAATGTACTTGTTACATCGTAAGAAGAATGGCATCTACGCTAAATGTTAGTCTCTCTGTCTCATTCTGACCCCAAGGTTAGGCTACTGTAGTCATCCGGATCTAGTCTGCATCCAGACCAGATGGTGGACCTGCACCCTAAGATGACCAGCCTGAATGCCAGACGAGAACTTCACAACTAGACACGACCTAGAAACAAACGCCTGTGAAGACCTCGTTGACACAACAGTCCTCGGCACAGTCATCGGATCAGATCCACGAGAAACAGACCAGTTCTCCACACAGACCCAACGGCCAGCTTCAACTCCCCTCTCACCGACGCCGGCGTGATCTTATGAAGGTAAAGGAGGAGAAAAACTGGAGAACATAGATGTGAATTTAAGAACTTGTACAATAAATAGTTGTACTTGAAAACATGTTGAATGTTGAGATTTTCACTCGCAGACAATAGTCACAAACCTGTATTCTGAATGTGAAGCTGCAGACAAGTAGTCACAAATGTGTAAAATGCCATTCACATAAATACAATGACAGACACAAACTTGTATTCGTTCATTCACATTCGCAGTACAACCTCAATTAGGCATTTGCAACATTTCAAATCTGCCATTGCTATTTCAAATCTTCACGCATTGACTTTGCTACTATTTTCACAATATATTAGATGCGTAACTACCTTGTGCATTTGCAAACTGAATGGCGGTGAGAGAAAGGCGGGGCAATTAAAAAAGTTGCAATGGCAGATTTGAGAAATTGCAAATGCCTAATACAGGGTTTTGACATTGGAGGTTTTCAATTTGGAGCTGTGAGTGTAAATTGTATTGTACAAGTACAAATATTTATTGTACAAGTTCTCAAATTCACATCTACTTGCTCTCCAGTTTTGCTACTCTTTTACCTTGGTGTAATCTTTTCCAATCTTCAAGCAAAAGGAGCTGAATGAAATACTTTGAATGATATCAATCCACAATCTGACTTGTGAAGCAGCCTGGAATCCTAACACACACCATGTTCGTTGTTTGGCCAGAGGAGAACTGGCCCCCCGACTGAGCCTGGTTTTTCTTTCTTCGTTTTGCCACTGTCGCCTCTGGCTTGCTTATTTGGGGACACTTATTCTTAATACTGTTCGGCCTGCGTTGACACCATTATATGAGAACTGAACTGAGTTGGACGATGACATCACTGTTTTCTGCAGAGCTGCTTAATAATGAAAATTGACTCTTTATAATTGATATACTTTATACAGTTATTTAACAGAACTGAATCAACACAGTTGAATTCAGCTGAACAATGACACTATTTTCTTTTTAGAGCAGCTTTACAGCCAAATTGAACTCTGTTTGCATCATTGATAATTTTCCTGTTTAACACTGTAAAGCTGTCATTACTATATATATTTAATATGCTATATATTTAATGGTGACTTGACATTTGCAAAAATGATAAAAATGATATTCGCAATAACACATCGTTTTACCGAATTAAGTAAACCTAATTTATTAAGTTATCTTTGTAAAGAAACCTCATAGCTTATCTGGCTCTCTGCCAGGGGCGGACTGGCCATCTGTGTGATCTGGAGAATCACAGAACGGCCGGTACTACAGGACGGCCGGCGGGCCGGCCCACCAGCCGCCACACACATCCCAAGTCTCCCGCATATTGATAGCGGCTCCCTGATGTCCGCAAATTAGTTAAAATCTCCCGGAATCTAGAGCGAGCAAGAGCGCGCATGCGTACCGCGTGCACGGCAGAGAGAGAGGGAGCGAGAGATTGCGTGTGTGTGCTAGTGTGCGCGTGTCCCTCACGAAGCGCATGTAAGGACCCAACCAATCAATTGTCAGTGCGGGCGGGCTTTTATCTCTACTACTCCCGAACCGAATTAATCAGTAATTACTTTGCAAGTTACTTGCTAGGGATGATGTTAGGAAGTGATATTCAGCTTGCTACATTTTTAATGATTACAGTAGTTAAAACAGCTAAACTTCAACATTTTAGCTGTAAAATGCCACATGCAGTTGCTAATATTAAGAAAAATGTTGTGTTTTTACTTTTAAAAATGTTGGTAATGTTACAGTTAATGCTTACAAACTTTGAAGATTTTGAATACAGAAGTTACATTTGTAATGGTGTATTTTCATTTAGATGTGGTATTATTATTTGTGCAGTAGCTAAGATTAATTACTGCATAAACTAATTAAGATTATTAAGTAATAAATTAATTTTAAGACAGCATGGAATAGATTGTATAATATGCTGTTAGCTATAATTTGGATGGTATAGTATCATGAGCCACAGTTAAAGTGACACTCATGGCAGGCGTTATTGTTGTTGTTGTCGAGTTTCCGCGCACCGATTGCTTTGGGCCGGGCCTAGTCAAAGTCCAGGGCCGTTTTTTAGTCCCAGTCCGTCCCTGCTCTCTGCTGTCTCAGACGACATCTTTTCCTATCGACCACCGTAACTTCTGTTGCAGTTCACAACCTCACCACTAGATGCCGCTAAATTACAGTGCAATTTTAAGTGTTAAAAAAAAAGAAGAAAAAAAAAGAAAAGTGGAACAGAGCTAGCCTGGGAAAACCCAGACAACTTCCGGCAAATTTAGATTTGCTCTGAAAGTTAGTCTGGCAAAGAGCTCATTCAAGCCCATTTCCAATCCGTCGAAATCGAGGCACCAATCAGAAACGTTGGGGCGGGCTTTACACGATGACGACAGCGCTGGGATTTTGAAGCAGATTTTGTAGCCTACATTACAAAGATGGATGCCGCCGTCGAACATCACTCATTCGAATCAGCTATCGCGTCTGTTTTAAGCGATTTGAACGTTTCCTTTTTGTTAAAAACCGAGCAAAGAACAACACTCGGAGATGTTTCTCCGCCGCTCTGCATACGTCATCTCCTTCATCGCTCTGATTGGTTTTAGGTCTATCCGTGATGTCCGTTGGTGACGCCCCTCTGGAAATGATTTGTCTATGACGCTTTGCCAGACCATAACACAGTTACAACTGAGAATGGTCTGGTTTTAACCAGGCTAGAACAGAGCAGCACCACATGCAAAGATGGCAGACACAGTCCTTCTCCCAGGGCAGTCTTCAAAGTTAGCTCAAAATGCATAACACAGCAAGATCCCAGGAGAAAGACAGAATATTCCATTCGAATGGAAGATGGAAATAAACAGCTTATGCTTGAAAAAACAGCTGGTCACATAATTGACTGACTGCTAATATTCAACATGCATTTTTAAAAAAAAAAATTATATTCAACATTCATGTTAGAGTGTGCTACATTTGCTGTCTGCTTAAGAATATATATAACAATATTTGGGCAAATTTTCAGAACAGGCATTCACAGTTCTGCCATTACTAAAGCTGTGAACAATGATGGAAAACATTTTACCACATGATTGAATTACAGCCTTCTTGAGAACTTACTTTCTCTTAAAACAGAGAGGTTGCCATCTTATCTTTTAGTAAAAATAAAAATTTCACTGACTTTGAATCACTTGATGGGTCCTGCTCCAGCAGAGCAACTGCCACTGAGATGAAAGGGAATTATAATAAGCTTTGTCTAGTTATGGCACATGGCAATTTCATTTGTCTGTCATTTTACAAAAGATAAAAATAATTCCCAAAAGCACGGGTTATTAAGTGGAATTCAGAAGTCACTGGCAGAGTACAATAAAAGCCCCACATGGCAATTTTATTTGTTTGTCATTTTACAAAAAAAAAAAAAAACTCTAAAGCACCGGTTATTAAATGGAATTCAGAAGTATTGGCAGAGTACAATACAAACCAGTGCCAAATTTACCAATGCCATAATTTAGCCCACCCTGGAGGAAGAAAAAACAAAATCCATTATAAAACCAACACTGCCATCTGTTGGATAAAAACTTCCATTTTATTAGATCAATAGAAAATAATTGAGCAACAGGTTAAAACTCATAGTTTACAGGAGGTCACACGAACAGACGTTTAAAAGGAGGGGAAAACAGACATCAGTTTTCAGAAGTCAAACATCCTGCAGTCACACATACTCCAAGCGCTCCCTTCCATTTTGAGAAGCCGGCAAATACCGTCCCCCACCAGACGGCCTTCCTTTCGGGCAAGAACTGCAGAGAAGGCCTCCACCAACCAGCATGAGAACCGCTGCCCCCCAGCAGATAAAGATGGCTGCTCCCAACTCCCTCTTCTGAGCTTGGGCCACTAGAGGATTGTAGAAGTCTCCAATGACCCTATGGGCAGTCCAACTAGATGGCACCAAAGCCAAGACTCCTGCAGTGACAAAGGCAGCCCCTCCTACTGCAGCAACCCGAGCCTTTGCGAAACCGTCTGCCAAGCAGTTAGTACATTTACCACCTGCAAAACTGGCAAATATGCCTACTAGACCAACAAGGGAAGCAATAATAAGGATAGCTCGAGAGGCTTGTAGGTCTTGAGGAAGAGCTAGCATGGAGTCGTACACTTTACACTGCATTTGACCAGTGCTCTGAACCACACAGTTCATCCATAGTCCCTCCCACATGATCTGCGCTGTCACAATGTTGTTTCCAATAAAAGCAGTCACACGCCATAGAGGAATCGCACACGATATGATGATGCCCAGCCAGCCAAGAATTCCTAGTGTGGTTCCAAGAAGCTGTAATCCAGTAGACATGTCTGCGAAAAGAGGGAGAAGCCAATAAACCAAAAAGGAAAGAGCACTGGAAGTAATGCAAGCAATGATAAAAAAAAAAAAAAAAAGAGACAGCAGGCAAATTATTACTAAATCAGTGGAGTATTAAAAGCCTTTATTCTTATTTTGGCTGGTCACATTTTTGCCCTGCTGGAAAAGAAAAAAAAAGCCTATGCTGGTTGACTGGCTTTATTGTCTTCCAGCATGGTTATAGCTGGTTAAGCAAGTTGTTTTAGAAGAATTTCAACCACTTTTCCTGGTCTTGATGGGGACCACTTAACCAACCAGATAAAACAGCTGAGCACCAGCTTGACCCGCTTTTAAAACAGCAAGACCTGCCAAGGATGGTTCTAGCTTTCTGATTTATTGAAAAGTTAAGCAAAATTTCTTAAATGTTACAGAGAGAAATTTCACCAGTCTGTAACAAATCTCCACGATAAACATCTCTTACCTGAGAACTTTCAATGATATTGATAAGCTTGCAACTTATAACACCCACACCAATCAAATCACAATGATTTTGACAAAATTCTGAAACAAGCACAAAATGCTTATGTGCAAGAAAACAATTATTTTAAAAGCCTTGATTCACGCCAACAACAACTTCCGTGTGCTCCTTTAAGTTATATTGCTCCAATAGCATGAATATGCTGTTGATTACTATCTATCAGTGATTGGCTGATTATCAATCAGTTTAATTACTGGTTTGTAGTTTAGCACGCTGTACTACTGATAACGCTGACTGTTCATTATTAAACTATTCAGTATTACAATTAATTATCAATTACTCACTTACTTACATTTCGCCCGATGATTTTACGCATCTTCATAAACCTTAAATAAAACGCCCATGATTGTTAAACATGTTGGTTTGGAGGCATTAAAGGCATGGGAGTGTGAGTGTTTGGAAAACTTAGTTAATTAGAGAGACGATTAAAGTGATTTTGACAACTTATTTGTTTTGGTGTGTTTATTACAAAACAGAAAAATATATAGGTTCTTGCCTAACCAATCAAATGTCCAGATTGAGGATACACTCGGACTACCGTTTGATCGAAGGGGTCGTCGTCCAATCACAAAGGAAACATTTAATGCTCAGTAGCAACTGACAGGGCATTCCACCAATCAAATGCTTCCGATGGGCTGTCTTTACACTCACGGTAACATTCGTGGTCTCTGTTGTACGCGCTGGTTTAGACAAGCAGTATGGCGGAAGAAGAGAGTGAATTGGAGTTAGACAGGTTTAAGAAAGAACTGGAGACTTTGTTAAAGACTAGAGCAAACGACGAACGCGGACTTCAGAGCAAGACGTACTGTGGAAGGTTTTGCGAGGTAAGATGACACTGAAATGGACGAAAGCATTTGCAAGCTTTTTTTAAAAAGCAAACAGAGATGTGCTAACCAGTGTTAGCAGCATGTCAGCAGATTCCCCTCCCCCAGTGTACAGCCACCGTGAGCCAACATTTACACAGTATTTTACCTCTATCTACAGGTGTTTTCAAAATACCGTAGGAGTAGATCTCAATAGAGCGATTCTTCATTTCCGATCACGATTTATGGAGGACGAACTGTCACTTTCTCTCAGTTAGCTCCATTAGCCTAAAGTGGCTAACGGTTAGCATTCCTAAGTTGCATTCCAAAACAAGCAGTCTGCAGAAGATTTAAGCGTCTGTACTCTTCGTAATATTTTATTAACCAGCGATTTCATGAAACCCTAAACGGGCAAACCTAGTCTGAGAAATCATTATGCACGACTGTAGGGTGTTAAATGATAGAATAACTCGATGCTGTCAGTGTTAGCAGTGGTTGATGTCCTAATAACCAGTCTCTGTAAAGGTTGGTTTTAAACCGCTGGTTTCTTCCCAACAGTTATCCAGCAGATTTTAATTTCGAATGAAATGGTTGCTAAATGAATGAATCTAGCCTTCTCTTTTAAAAAATAAACTTTGTATGCCGTTTTACGAAAGTTTGATTGATGTTTGATGTTTCGTAATTTGTATCGTGTCATGGACATGAATGGCAATGACTCCCATGATTATAAACAAACACTAGAAGTCACCTGACAGTAATGCTTTCTATTTTCAGAAGCACATAGTGATAGTAATATATTTAGTCATTCTACTCTTTCTGTTAAATGTCTCTCTTTTTTTCTTTTAGTTGGTGGTGGAGCAAACCGGGCGATGGCAAGTGCCTCTTCCCCAACTCCAGGTGTTGCGGAGTGCCCTGTGCTCTTTTGTCCAGGGTGTGGCATCCTTTCCTCCAGAGTGTGAGCATGTACGCTACACACTGAGTAGTCTGGTCCTGTGAGTCTGCACTTCTGCTTTTGCCATGAAATAGACAATTTGTATTTATTCTAAATGTTTTATCTTTTTATTTTATTAATTTATTAATCTTACTCTTTAAGTGAGTGAGTGAGCCCCTTTACACTATCCCTTTAAAAGGGTAGTTCACCCAAAAATGTCAATTCTGTCATTAATTACTCGCCATCATGTTGTTCCAAATCTGTAAGACCTTCGTTCATCTTTGGAACACAAATTAAGATATTTTTGATGAAATCTGAGAGCTCTCTAATCCCTCGATAGACAGCAATGCCATTACCACTTTCAAGGCCCAGAAGGGTAGTAAAGACATCTTTAAAATAGTCCATGTGACTACAGTGGTTCAACCTTAAGGTTATAAAGCGAAGAGAATACTTTTTGTGTGCAGAAAACCAAAAATAACGACTTTATTCTATTTATTCTCTTCTGTGTCAGTCTCTGACACTGTTCATTTGAGCACCATGACGCATGCATGGAGCCGGCCGATACTGATCCGACATTCTGATGCAAAACCCGGAAGCAATGCACTGTTTACACCATGAACAGCGCCAGAGACTGACACGGAAAAGAAGAAATTGTTGAATAAAGTTGTTATTTTTTGGGGTTTTTTTTAGCACACAACAAGTATTATCGTCACTTCATAACCTTAAGGTTGAACCACTGTAGTCACATGGACTATTTTAACAATGTCTTTACTACCTTTCTGGGTCTTGAAAGTGGTAATGGCATTGCTGTCTATATGGAGGGGTCAGAAAGCTCTCGTATTTAATCAAAAATATCTTAATTTGTGTTGTGAAGATGAACAAAGGTCTTACGGGTTTGGAACGACATGAGGGTGAGTAATTACTGACAGAATTCTCATTTTTGGGTGAACTATCCCTTTAACGGCGCACCCTCATGTTGTTCCAAAACTGTAAGACTTTCGTTCATCTTCGGAACACAAATGAAGATATTCTTAATAAAATATATCCAGTCAAAGTGGTAGTTGCATGGAGTCATAGACTGTCAATAGAGGGACAGAAATCGCTCAGATTTCATTAAAAATATCTTAATTTGTGTTCTGAAGATGAACGAAAACCTTACGGGTTTGGAATGACATGAGTGTGAGTAATTAATGACAGAATACATTTTTTTGGTGAACTAAACCTTTCATCGAAATTAACTTGCCCTCTCTCTTGCATCAACTTCCCTGATGACGTGTTTACCGGAGCAAGTGAGCGCCGAAAGCTTCTGATTCTTACACATTTTGTTCATTGTGATAATCATAAATACAATCGGCAGAAGTTAAAAGCTAAATGTAGGCAATAAACAAACTACACCACGGTCGCATGAGTTCAATGTCACCATCACTAAGCTACTCTTTCAGTCTTTATTTAAAAAAAAATTTCCATGAGAGTTTGAGTTGTAATAGTTTGCAAGAGCGTGATTATACAGGCAATGAGGCTGTGAAAGCGAACTAGTGATGGATGAGTTTACCTGTTCAGCTGATGGTGTGATTTAGCCGACCTTATTTCAAACATTTAGTCAAAAACTCATTAAAAAAAAGTGCTAAAATGCAAACTCGTTTCCGGGTTTTGGCCTACAGAAGTACGTCATCCCTGCACCAATCTATAACAAACGTCAAAAAGTCCCACCCTACATTTCTTCTTGTTCTAGAAGCAGTTTCACTTTTATATATGTCGCAATAGGAAAGAAAAGACTATCACAAAGTTCTTCCGTTTCATGCTGACTTTACAGGTGCTGTAAAACTTAATTAGAACAAATTAGTAAAACTAATTAGGAAAGTAGAACGTACGTCTGGTAAAACTGAGCACTTTTGTCGTCATTTGCTTACTTTCATGTTGTTCTAAACCTGTATGACTTTCTTACTTCTGTGGAACACAAAAAATATTTTGAAGAATGTTTGTACCCAAACAGTTTTGGTTTCTATTGACTTCCATAGTATGGACTTAAAAAAACACGTAACACAATAACTCTTATGTTCCTCAGAATTTGCGAATACTCACCAAGCCGGGCGATTTGACAATTTGTTTTGTATTTAACCAATTAGGCGTGAAAGTTCACTTTGTTTGTCCGTGTTCCACTCAGTCTTGGAGCGCCTTTCGTGGCTTAATGCAGTTTTGATAACTCTTGTTGTCTAGCATGTCCTGCAGTTTAGTAACAGTAGACTGTATTTTACTTGAATGTAGTAAAGCACTTTTAGCTGCGCATAGAAAAATGGTCTGATCGGCCTTTATAGAGACCATCCATCAAACTATATGAAGCTGTTATCGGACGATAACGATTGTCCACATCAAAAATTACAAACATAAAGATAACTATAAAATGAAAATTATATCGTCCACCGGAGTAATTCCAACTATATCGTTACTCTGTGCCGTTATCTAGCTGGTGTGGATTGTTATTCTTTAATATTGAGAGGCTCTGATAATATTTCTCCACCTCCTAATATAAAACTAATCCTGTCTGACGATATAAAAGTGGCTAACATGGTTACCGTATTGTTTATTGGTGCAACAGGTTGTAAAAGTGAATAATTACAGTCTACTCATTTTTTTTTTATTTGCAGGAGTATCTTTGAACTGCTGTTGTTCTTTGGAAAAGATGAATTCATCGAGCATCCTTTAAAAGATATTCTAGACTCATTCCAGGTAATCACATGACATCAATCCTATTATTCTTGGGGAGCATCATGTAGAATTCTGTTCTTTAACCTTTCAGTGGTTATCTTGTTGTGTCACTCGTATGTTTCCATTAATATTGTTTCATTTTTTTTCTTGTCTATTCTAGGACTGCTATGCGAGCCTGGTAAGACACCAGAATGTTTACCTTCTGCAGGTTAGGCATATTATTAAAGATGGAGGGCCTTGGGCAAACCCTGTACTTCAGGCCATTCTCAAGGATTCAGAGCTACCACAAGAAGATGGTCAGTCTATCGAGCTTTTGTTTAAAAACCGTGTATCTTGATCAAGTAATCTTTACCTTGGATTTTCTAAACTGTTAATGGAGTTGATTATTATAATTTTTAATTGCTGTTTTTGTTCGCAGTGGACAAGTATCTGAGTTCAGAAGTATCCATTTTCTTTGAGCTGCGTTTGCGATACCTGGTGGCATGTGAGAGGCTTCCGGAGGCCTTGGCACTGACAAGGAGATGCATCCGGCACTCTGTTGTAGGGAGGCATCTCTATTTCAAGCAAGCCTACCTCATCTGCCTTCGGAGAGCTTCTCTTTGTGAGCGCTTGTACAAGGAGGTGAGTGAGAAATTCTCTTGGTGTGAAACGGGCCTTATACACAGTCCACTTTTTTTTGGCAGTTTGCATACCTGAACAATAGCAAAGGTTCTCCGTTCCCTATTGTGGTTTATAGGACTTCTGACTTTTCTGGACTTTTTGGTGTTTCCTAGTTGTGCATTAAAGTCCTGCCTTGAAATGATTTGCCCTGTTTGGTTATGTATAAATAGAGCTTTTGGTAACACTTTCTATGAAGTCCATGCTTATAATGAATTACAGCTCCATTTATATTTAAGTATTACTATTTTCTAAATATACTTATAAGGACTCATTAAGACCTATACTGGATTATAAGAACAGTTATAGTTACATTTCGATATTTTTATAATTAAGTTAGGTCTGCAACAACTAATCGATAATAATCGATTATGAAAATCGTTGTCAACGAATGTCATTATCGATTAGTTGGTCTGCTTACGTCACGGGGAGCGTTTACTGGTGATTGGTTGAAACAGGCCAATCATGATGCTCTCTGTCTTACATGCGCTTCATGAGGCACACACGCAAGTTCTCTGCTGTGCGCGCGCGCTACATGGTTTGGAGCACAGTCTCTTCTGTCTCGCATGCGCGCTCTTGCTTGCTCGCTCTAAATTCCGGGAGTTTGAACTAATTTGCGAGCATCAGGGAGCCGCTATCGGGTGATTCCCGGAACTTCCGGGAGACTTGGGATGTCTGTATTTTGTCTCGAGCATCAGGTTGCGCAATCAGTTCGCTCGCAACATAAGTAATGGATTAAAATAGCGCTATCGCAGAAATAGGTTAAATTAAAACGGTGTTTACAAAGTGAAGCACTAAATATAAAGGCAGTTAATAACAGCAGCAGTAAAAGATTGTTTTTTAGTCACTGTACTCAGTGGGTTTCAGCGAATGCTTGTGCACTAATGCATCATTTTTCCTGTCCTTTTAATCAAGCCTGTTAGTTTGCTGCGTACCTCCATTCCGTTCTCTTTTTATAGCATTTGTCTACTATTAAGTTTTAATTGTTTTTCAAACGCGATCTACTGCGGCTCTACGTTCACACGCTTGTTTTCAGTCTTTCTATATTTATTTTATCAATTTATCCTTATAATTCAATTAATTTTAAATAAAAATTAAATTAATTATATATTTTAGATGTTTTTAGTTTATATCTTCACATCTGAACAACATGTCTGTTTAAATTTGTTTTAACAAAAATTGTGTATTTTAATTTTTAATAGCAATTTAAAAAAAAAATTATTTATGGTTGTCAACTTGCCATCAGCAATTTTCATTAAAAACAATGCAAATATTGATATTAGAAAAACTCAATGTGTGGCTTTTACACTTTTTAAATTACACTTTTACACATAAATACCCTGATTTAGGGTTTTATTTAGTTATAATAAGCAAAAAAATCAAATTGAATTGATCCAATTAATCAATTAATAAAAATCCGATTAATCGATTATCAAAATAATAGTTAGTTGTAGCCCTAAATTAAGTCATGGATTTGCTTTTTCAATGCGCATGCTCATAATCCATTATACACTGATTTATAAGTATTAATTAGTTAGTCGTATGGATCCATGAATGTATTTATAAAGATGCAACCTGCATTGCTATAATGTTATTATTTTATAGTTGTCAAATAAGTGAATATATTGTTATTAATAGCCATGTTGTGTTCTTATAAATACTTACTGTGAGTGATAATACAGTTACTAACCTCTATAACTGCATCATTGATGGATTTCAGTAAAGTGAAAACATAGGATGCAATTTTCCTCAAGCAAATGTTAAGAAATTATGAAGATGTGCTTATTATACATTTTAAGTTATTTACTTGTAAATGTAACTAATAAGCAATAATTCCTGTTATAAATAAAAATAATGGGGGAAAAAACACAGAAATCATTAATGCAAATAGTTTTTATTTTTTAATGTCACATACTAGCAAAATACTGCATCAATATTTTTGTAAGTATAATTACAACCTGCTATAAACAATACCATGCATATGGCTGAGATATACATAATTCATAACTAATTGGTACAGCAAACAAGTGTCTCTGGAACTATTTTATATTTGATAATTTATAAATTCGTGTATAATGGATTATGAGCATGTGCATTGAAAAAGCAAATGCATGACATCTAACAGGGCTCTAGAGTGCGACACAATTTTTTCTTAAGTCGCACCAGTGCACCTAACGTCCTCACGTCCACTGCCTCTCCACGAACGAAGCGTTTGTTCTCCTTTGATGGAACTCACACTCATGGTTGGATCATATCGTGGTCTAAACCAATCAGAGACAGAGATGGGGCGGGTCTTTGCCTCTGATTGGCTGTGGTCCAGATATTCCTGTAGGCCTACACTGCTTGTGCTCCGTGATTAAAATTGCGACCTGGGCACCAGAGAATCAGGCCTCGTTTACACTGTCAGTGAAATGTGACCCAATTCCGATTTTTTGCTCATATGTGACAGATCGGATGTGTTCTATGACCGTGTAAACAGGAATTCGGATTTGGATATTTGAGATCGGTTTCAGGCCTCGTACATATGTGGAAATAAATCAGATATGTGCCAATGCGACTGTCATGTAAACAGGCAGATCTGATTTTCTGAGGCATTAGGCTACGTGGCCGCGGTTTAATGACGAGAGCAACCCCGACGCGCATCTGCAAAGGGACGGATGGCCTGACGAAACGTTGTATCGTCGTAGGAGAGGAATGTGGACAAACGTTGACACAACATATCAAAGGTTGGCTTGCTCATCCTAAAATTTCGGACCCACTGCTCCTCGTTAAAGCCTGCCACGATCTCATGAAAGTGCGTCTATAGCACAAATTTTATTTATCGTGCCATTTACACCAAAAATAGTTTTTGCGTGCATGATACGCACTTTATGGCGTTTAATACGCACGTTTAGAGTGCGAATGATATGCACGCAAAAACTATTTTTTTGCATATAAATTGCACGAGAAATGAAATTTGTGCTATAGATACGCACTTTCATGAGATCGTGTTGTATGTTCCCATCAGTCCTGAGATCTCTCTTGCTGCGCGTTCGTCCATCTGTGCAAGAAGAACCCCCTTTAAACATGCGCGATGTTTCAGATCTATGTCAAGTGCAAACGCATGAATCGGATATGGGTCACAATTTAAAGCTCCAGTCCGTAACATTTTTGGGTTAAAAATTATCCAAAATAAATTTGAGCAAGTACATAACCAGCCAGTGTTCAAAACTCTCTGCTTGCCTTAGCTCGATTCAAAACGGTAAGCTTGTAATAATGTTTTTAATTGCAGTGGTACTGGTGGATTTCCGCGGGAGATTAGAGAATGTCTTTGCGTCATTACGTCACATCTGTACACATAAAGAAGGAGTCTCGGCTAGTAGGCTATATTGCGTGTGAGGATGTTGGAGGAGGAGATTTATAGCCTTTTCTCACAGCACTTGATATAATTAAACTTATTAATTTGATTGTGAATCCAGAAAGGTTCAAACGACAATCACCAGTGACAACTAGAGATTCACCCGTTGTAAAATGCAAAAGACTTTGGACTGAGAGTTTGGGAAAAGAGACTGCAACCGGGCCAATGCGAAAACGAGGATAAATATCTGAAGGTCAAGGTCACTCTCCCTGGTCAATGCTCCGACAACAGCCCAGACATGGAGCTACTTCAGCCATCAGTTCAGGGAAGCACTTTTAAACAGTAGCACTTTCTATTTCTATTTTGAAATGTTTTGTTTTGCTTAAAATGTTTTAGTTTGGCAGCTCAGTGAAGCACTTAAAAAAATAAGATTTTTTTTTTATATACCGTATAATTGTGCTTAAAAAAAAAAAAAGTATTTACCTACACCTTATTCTTGTTTAAAACCATTTACATATGGTGATAATAATGATCTTTACTTTGTCATAAAACATAATCGCTCCTGGTAGCAGGTGCATAAGGGCTAGCTAGCATGTTAGCTTAGCACAGCATAAAAACAACAATTTCTGGAAAAATTTTTTGCTTTATAACGACAGTCGAGAGTTTAAAATGAGATTCTGTGATCCCATGTGGCTTCTTACAGAATGAGGCAGAAATTGTAGTATTTTATAGTTTTCTGTACTGTGATAAAGAGTGTTGCTTTATAAATATACTTTATTCCTATGAAAATACCTGAGATGGCTTGAAAAACACAGATAAACCATATATCGTCACAATCGTGTGTTTATTGTCTTCAGGTTTTATCGGTCAAACCATCTCTATATGCATGTTTGTCAGCTGCAGTGATCTCTGGATGCCTTTGAAAGGGTTTTCCTGGAACGTCTATGACTTTATGGTCTGGTTTCATAGACAGGGTTTAAATTAAACCAGGATTAGGCCATAGTTAAATTAGGACATTTAATTCGCTTTTATAAAATGTGTTTGGTGAAGCTGAATCAAGTTAAACAATGACAAAACCGCATTCATTATGGTTTGTCGCTATGGTGCCATGGGAGGTTATTAGTTTACATTGCATTTGCATGGCTGGGTCAGTCTGTATCTTTGCAAATAGTAAATTACATTGCTAACTGTATGCTAGTAAACTAATTGCTATGTGCCATTAATACTTTTTTCATACGTTTCAAAATGTGTGCTTAGGTTAGGTGAAGTTTGCAGCCATGTTGCTGTGGAACAGTGTGTAAAGCCGCGTTTCCACCGCAGGAACTTTCCCCAGGAACTAGGGACTTTGGGGTGGTACTCCGTGTGTTTACACCGCAGGAACCAGGGTCTAAATGAAGTTCCGGGTAAATATTTCCCCCTCCGATAGTCCCTGTTCGTGAGGTAGTTCTTTTTCAAAGTTCAGGAACTTTCAGCGGTGGGACTTGGGCGCTGAACATGCTGATTGGTTGAGTTCATGCCGCATTTTGATTGGTTGACTTGATTGATTGACATGCAGCATTTTATTTCAACCACCATCTGTTGTGTTGCGTGCAGTAACAGTTGTCTGCTTTTCGAATCAACAATGGAG